ACAAAGATAACTTACCAGATTGCATGGCCAAAGCCAGCAAAAGAACGGAGAACAATGTTGTCTTGAACATGATTATTGTTGTAGTGCTGTGAAGCTCTGATGTGAATTGTGACTCTTGTACTTACACTGTATTTATACAAAATCGTTTAGTTTGGAACATTTGGCATAATTATAATGGAATCATATAAATATTCTATTAGTGGTATTAAAGACATTATAAACGCATTATTGTGAAATTATCATTTTTGTTAATTTTGATAAAAAATACTAATCAATAATTTCTTTATTACTATTAAACCAGTTTCTTTTAAGGTAATTGTTGAGATAACAGCGTTACACGTCAATATATTTCGGTGGAACGAACTGGTGGCAAATTTGGTACTATGCTAAAATAACGTAATAAATATTCAGTACAAGCGTTAGGGTAGGGCGCGGTTGGACGATCTCACCCAGGGTGTTAATACAGCTAAAACCCTTACTGCATGGCACGCTTGCCTCTCGCCACTAAGTCCCACTCATTCCAGCCCATGTCTCTCAAAAGAAAAGGAGCTTCGTTGAATCTGTGTCCATTAATATTATTCATGGAAACAGATTCAACGAAAATATTTACATATGAATGTGAACGTTATAGACCAAAGAGTATATAAAATATAGACTATAAACTATAATCTAACCTTAATTTTAAAAAATCCAAAAAATCCGACTGACTAGGTTCAAATGTGTCATACGAGTATACCGCCATCTATTGGCTACATTTTAGAACTGAGTCTTTTTTTAAGAAATTGAACTGTGTTCTTAAGTAGCATTTTCACATTTGAGAAAAAACTCACAAACAGAGAAAATGATTAAGGAATGTAAAAAAGTTACATCGATTGAGAATCGAACTCTCCATAACTGTTTTCAGTATGTAATATAGAATTTTAGTTTTTACGTCAACTGTATGTGTATTGTGCTTATGGTACTCTGGGGAAGATGGTTAATCGAATGATATCCCACTCGACAAATTGGTTCAGATTATAGGCTCTAGGCCGTCACAAAGGAATTTACATACGAGTATACAAACCCACATACATTAAAAAACTTACATACGAGCGAAAAACCTTTGGTGAATGGGATAGATATCAAGACCGTGATAAGCATCAAAGTGTATTAATTCTATGGTAGGAAGACGCCCAAGCTTTGATTATATGGATGAGTAAACGTTGATATGATAAACCTGAACTTCACATAAATTTTATTAAGGTGTTTTTTTATATCATAAGGCGGCAAACGAGCGAGCGGCCACCAGAAATCGCTGAAATAGCGAAGTGACCGTTGCCCATCGACATACGCAAATGCATATGCGTTGTGTACCTTTAATCGACGGAGGAGAGGATGCACAGAGAGAAAATATTTTCCCCTTCCATGCATCCTCTCATCCGGAAAGTCTACTTCCACTTCCCATCCTTTCCTAATGAGAAAAAGGGTAGGAAGGGAAAGAGGACTAAATTAGGCCTCCGGGACGCACACTCATCAGACGAAACGCGGAATTTCTTCCATTTGACGCCTATCTATGTGGTCGTGGTACTTCACCGGGCGAGCCGGGCCGATTCGTGCGAAGATGTTAAAGCTGGCTCTACCACTGTTTAAAGTAAGTAGGTATTGTAACTATGAGAAAATAAATAATAACGATAACTACGCGAATGCGATTATTTTATTTATGTTAAAATCTATTTTCTGCTATCGATAAAGTAATAGATGTTGTAACAAAAAACATTTGAGAATCTATCCCGAATAATACATTAATCGTATTTTTATTTTTATTTTATTTTATTTATTAACGGGACAACTTACAGCTAACTAACATTATAATAATTTTGTAAATGGAGACTTAAGGCTAATTACAAGTTGTCACA